GAATCGTTACTCAGGGACAGACACAGAATTGTTACTCAGGACACAGAATTGTTACTCAGGGGACAGACACAGAATTGTTACTCAGGGACACAGAATTGTTATCAGGGACAGACACAGAATTGTTACTCAGGGACACAGAATTGTTACTCAGGGACACAGAATTGTTACTCAGGGACAGACACAGAATTGTTACTCAGGGACACAGAATTGTTACTGAGGGACACAGAATCGTTACTGAGGGACACAGAATCGTTATGAGGGACACAGAATTGTTACTGAGGGACACAGAATTGTTACTGAGGGACACAGAATCGTTACTGAGGGACACAGAATCGTTACTGAGGGACACAGAATTGTTACTCAGGGACACAGAATTGTTACTCAGGGACACAGAATCGTTGAATTAAAGAGTATGTCAGACAACACGCAGAGGAGTGGCAGAGGAGGCAATGTTTCAGGAGCGAGCAGACGTGGCAGCAGAGGAAGGGGTCGAGGCAGCCACTAGTCGCAGCCAGAGGACCAGTGCTCCCGGTGTCATCCAGCGGTCGTGTCTCCACCGACAACCCTGCCGTCATCGATTGGTTGGCTCGTCGTCTTCCTCTTCCCAGGTCACCTCTGACACCTACAGCCAACGGTCGGTGGGTACGTCAGACACAACCATTAGTTGGCATGGCCCGGGAGCAAGCCCACTGAAATCACGTTCCTCTACCTGCCCCTGTCCTTTGGTGTTCCCTCACCAAGCGAAGTATCGCATGCTGTGGGCTCAGCCCACTGTACAGTGAGGAAGAGCTAACAGAGGGCGGTCAGGAACGGGGGGAGACATCCGCCTCTTCAGCAGCCAGGCGAAGAAGTACTGGCGAGGAGAGTGGCTCGGTAGCCGGTCTAGAGGACAGGTCTGTCTCCTGACCCACATGCAGCCGAGGGGGCTAGTAGTGAGGCGGAGACCCTAATTGATGATGATGAGGCTGATCGCACTTGGCAGCCTCGTCGTCATCAGGCTATTGCTTCCGCATCATCAGGAGAAGAGGGTGCCAGCTTGGCAGCGAGCAAAACAGTCGGTGGGTTGCCCAGAAGGCAGCAGGGTCGCAGCAGTGTCAGTGGAGGCAAACGGCCACGGAGTAGAGCACCAGCTCCACTGCAGCCTACCACCACGGCCAGTAGTGGTGCCGGTGTGCACGGAGGAAGTAGCAGTCAGCCAGTGAGGAGTAGCGGGGGCAAAGTTTCCTACTCGGCGGTGTGGCAATTTTTCGTCAAGCCGCTCCGCCCGAGGAAGTAAATGTAGCCGTATGTCCGACTATGTGGCCAGAAAGTCAAGCGTGGCCAGGGGGCCCATGTTGGGACTACAGCGTTGCGTCAGCATATTGCAGCATCGCCATTCGGTGGCCTGGGGAAAACCGTGATAAAGATACGGTGGTTCTGCCTGCCCCAGCCCCCGCTCCATTACTTGCTCCGTCACCCGACGTCAATCGCCCTCTATCAGCCAGTCAAGGCTCCAACAACCTCTGCTGAGGGGAGTTGTCGCTCGTTGGCATCTTCCGCTCGTTCAGATGCTCCTTCTCCTGCTACTCCTCTTCACGGATTCCGTCAGCAGTCTTTCTTGGAATCCGTTTCCAAGAGACAACAGTTTGCGAGCACGCACCCGACGGTGCAAAAGCTGAACGTCCTCCTGTCCAAGTTGCTGGTGCTGCAGTCCCTCCCTTTCCAAGTGGTGGACTCAGCACCTTTCCGAGAAATGATGGCTTGTGCCGCACCGCGGTCGGAGAGTGCCAAGCCGGCATTTCTTTCGCCAAAAAGGCAGTGCCAGCCTGCATTCACATGTAGAAGAGATGGTGGGCCAGTACTTTTGAGCATGTCGGTCTCTGCCAAAGTGCACGGCAGCGCCGACGTGTGGAGCTGTAACTACGGTCAGGGACAGTACATGTCAATTTTACGGCCCACTGGGTGAACGTGGTGCCGGCACAGCCGCACCAGCAACTTGGACAGGTCACGCCGCTTTTGCCTCCACGTTTGCACGTCCTTGGTCCACAAAAGATATCCGCCTCTACCACCTCTTCTTCCGCGTGTCCTCAGTCCGCCACCCCCGTGCCAAGTCCCATTACCCGACCGGCATATCACATGTGCAGGGCGCAACGGTGTCTCACGCTGTGCTGCACCTGGTATGCCTTGGCAAACGTAGTCACACAGGGGAGGAACTTCTGAGTGTAATGAACAGAGAAATCGACAGATGGCTGTCTCCGCGCAAACTGAAAATCGGAACCATGGTTGACCGACAACGGAAAGAACATGGTGTCTGCTCTGCGTCAAGGAAGGTTGTGCATGCGCCATGCATGGCTCACGTGTTCAATCTGGTTGTCAAGCGGTTCCTAAAATCCACCATCCCACTGCAAGACATCCTTAAAATGTCACGTAAAACTTTGCATGCATTTCAGCCATTCCTACACCGCAAAGCACACCCTCCTTGAGCTGCAGCGGCAGAACGGAATTCCACAGCATCGCCTGATCTGCGACGTTGCAACAAGGTGGAATTCAACCCTACATATGTTAGACCGCCTTTACGAACAGCGAAATGGCCATCACCGATTTCCTGATGTTACAAGCGGATAAAGGTACTCCCCTGTGTAACTTAGATGTCAGCCATTGGCAGCTCATGCGTGACACCTGCCGCTTGCTCAGGCCCTTTGAGGAGGCCACGCTATTCGTGAGTCGGCAGGACTATGGGATGAACGACGTCATTCCTCTGTTGCACGTCCTGGAACAAATGCTGTTAACAATGGCTGGTCAGGGTGCGGTAGACGTGGCGCACAGATCTCAACGCCACATGACCCCTGTGGGGCAGGACAGGAAGAAGAGGAGGAGGTAGAGGAGGACATTCTCAGGAATTATTGAGTGAAATGGGGTGGTTTTTTCCACTCAGCGGACAGGAGTGGAGGAGCAGGAGCATCTGGTAGAGGAGGAGGAGAGGAACAGAGGACCCAGACGCACCGTGGCAGTATGCTGTGGAGATGGAGGCAGGAGTCCCTCGCATTCCTTGGCACAAATGGCCCATAGCATGCTCGGTTGCTTGCGTAGCGACAGCCGAATAATAACCATCAGACAGAGGGATGACTTTTGGCTGTCCACCTTGTTGGACCCTGGCTACCATTCAAAAATGGTGGCCTTTTTCACACCTGCTGAGAGGGAGGCCAAAATAAACGTACTATAAAAAACAACTATGTAGTCAGTTGGTCTCTGCCTTTCTGCGCCAACGTCCATCCTCAAACACTGTGGGCCCTGTGCGCTCGCGTTCCGCTGCCATGGCAGCAGGGGAGGGGTGGGGTGGTAGGAGCAGTGGCAGCTCCACCAGCAGCGGCTGCCTCAGTTCTGCAGTCGATGATGAGTAGCTTTCTTCACCAGCGCAGTGAGGAAACTACTAACCAGCCGAGCAGCAGCAGCAGCAGCAGCATCAGGTGGACCTGGAGCAGGACCTCAAACAACAGGCTTGGGCCTACTTGGACAGCACCCTGCCAACCGAGGTAGGCAATCCCCTTGACTACTGGGCAACGAAACTTGACCTTTGGCCCCAACTAGCTGAATTTGCCCTTGAAAGGCTGTCTTGGCCCGGCCAGTAGCGTGGCATCGGAGCGCGTGTTTAGTGCGGCAGGAGGTATTGTAACTCCGCGGAGGACACGACTGTCCACCCAAAGTGTGGAGAGACTCACGTTTGTGAAAATGAATCAGGCGTGGATTAGTCTGGATTTCAAACCACCAGTTCCTGACACAACTGACTAAATCCGCCATGAATCATGCCCCCAAACATGTTATTATTTTTAACATAGGCCTCTGTATGGCCTTCAATTTAAGCTGCTTACGCTTCGCCACTCTGCCATGGCCCCTGTACCGCTCCTCCTCTTGCTGCTGCCAGGTCCAGAGTGTGTCATGGGTCCCTGTACGGCCTCCCATTGCTGCTGTCTCCATCGCCACACTCTGCCATGTGCCACTTTCAGGTCTCCTCACACTGCTGGTGGGTTCCATTTTGTCATAGGGTGCTGGCAGATTACGGGCCTTCCCATTGCTGCTGCCAGGCCCGTAATCTGCATGGCCCGCGTAATCCATGGCCCCCGTAACCGACTCCTCATTTGCTGCTGCCAGAACCCGTTAATCTGTCATGGGCCCCTGTACCGCCTCCTCATGCTGCTGCCAGGTCCAGAGCCTGTCCTCATGGGTCCCTGTACGGCCTCCCATTGCTGCTGTCTCCATCGCCACACTCTGCCATGTGCCACTTTCAGGTCTCCTCACACTGCTGGTGGGTTCCATTTTGTCATAGGGTGCTGGCAGATTACGGGCCTCCCATGCTGCTGCCAGGCCCGTAATCTGCCATGGGCCCCCGTTACTCCTCATGCTGCTGCCAGGCCCGTAATCTGTCATGGGCCCCTGTAACCACCTCCTCATGCTGCTGCCAGGTCCCTAGTAGTGTCTCATGGGTCCCTGTACGGCCTCACATTGCTGCTGTCTCCATCGCCACACTCTGCCATGTGCCACTTTCAGGTCTCCTCACACTGCTGGTGGGTTCCATTTTTGTCATAGGGTGCTGGCAGATTACGGGCCCCCCATGCTGCTGCCAGGCCCGTAATCTGCCATGGGCCCCCGTACCGACTCCTCATGCTGCTGCCAGGCCCGTAATCTGTCATGGGCCCCTGTACCGCCGCCTCCTCATGCTGCTGCCAGGTCCAGATTGTGTCATGGGTCCCTGTACGGCCTCCCATTGCTGCTGTCTCCATCGCCACACTCTGCCATGTGCCACTTTCAGGCCTCCTCACACTGCTGGTGGGTTCCATTTTGTCATAGGGTGCTGGCAGATTACGGGCCTCCCATTGCTGCTGCCAGGCCCGTAATCTGCCATGGGCCCCCGTACCGACTCCTCATGCTGCTGCCAGGCCTGTAATCTGTCATGGGCCCTGTAACCCGCCTCCCTCATGCTGCTGCCAGGCCCGTAATCTGTCATGGGCCCCTGTACCGCCTCCTCATGCTGCTGCCAGGTCCAGAGTGTCTCATGGGTCCCTGTACGGCCTCCCATTGCTGCTGTCTCCATCGCCACACTCTGCCATGTGCCACTTTCAGGTACTCCTCACACACTGCTGGTGGGTTCCATTTTGTCATATGTAGGGTGCTGGCAGATTACGGGCCTCCCATTGCTGCTTCCAGGCCCGTAATCTGCCATGGGCCCCCGTACCGACTCCTCATGCTGCTGCCAGGCCCGTAATCTGTCATGGGCCCCTGTACCGCCTCCTCATGCTGCTGCCAGGTCCAGAGTGTGTCATGGGTCCCTGTACGGCCTCCCCATTGCTGCTGCCAGGCCCGTAATCTGCCATGGGCCCCCGTACCGACACCTCATGCTGCTGCCAGGCCCGTAATCTGTCATGGGCCCCTGTACCAGCCTCCTCATGCTGCTGCCAGGTCCAGAGTGTCTCATGGGTCCCTGTACGGCCTCCCATTGCTGCTGTCTCCATCGCCCACACTCTGCCATGTGCCACTTTCAGGTCTCCTCACACTGCTGGTGGGTTCCAATTTTGTCATAGGGTTGCTGGCAGATTACGGGCCTCCCATTGCTGCTGCCAGGCCCGTAATCTGCCATGGGCCCCCGTACCAACTCCTCATGCTGCTGCCAGGGCCCGTAATCTGTCATGGGCCCCCTGTACCGCCTCCTCATGCTGCTGCCAGGTCCAGAGTGTGTCATGGGTCCCTGTACGGCCTCCCATTGCTGCTGTCCCCATCGCCACACTCTGCCATGTGCCACTTTCAGGTCTCCTCACACTGCTGGTGGTGTTTCCATTTTGTCATAGGGTGCTGGCAGATTACGGGCCTCCCATTGCTGCTGCCAGGCCCGTAATCTGCCATGGGCCCCCCATACCGACTCCTCATGCTGCTGCCAGGCCCGTAATCTGTCATGGGCCCCTGTAACCGCCTCCTCATGCTGCTGCCAGGGTCCAGAGTGTGTCATGCGTCCCTGTACGGCCTCCCATTGCTGCTGCCAGGCCCGTAATCTGCCATGGGCCCCCGTACCGACTCCTCATGCTGCTGCCAGGCCCGTAATCTGTCAGGGCCCCTGTACCGCCTCCTCATGCTGCCTTTGCTGCCAGGTCCAGAGTGTCTCATGGGTCCCTGTACGGCCTCCCATTGCTGCTGTCTCCATCGCCACACTCTGCCATGTGCCACTTTCAGGTCTCCTCACACTGCTGGTGGGTTCCATTTTGTCATAGGGTGCTGGCAGATTACGGGCCTCCCATTGCTGCTGCCAGGCCCGTAATCTGCCATGGGCCCCGTACCGACCTCCTCATGCTTCTGCCAGGCCCGTAATCTGTCATGGGCCCCTGTACGCCCTCCTCATGCTGCTGCCAGGTCCAGAGTGTGTCATGGATCCCTGTACGGCCTCCCATTGCTGCTGCCAGGCCCGTAATCTGTCATGGGCCCCCGTACCGACTCCTCATGCTGCTGCCAGGCTCGTAATCTGTCATGGGCCCCTGTAGACCGCCTCCTCATGCTGCTGCCAGGTCCAGAGTGTCTCATGGGTCCCTGTACGGCCTCCCATTGCTGCTGTCTCCATCGCCACACTCTGCCATGTGCCACTTTCAGGTCTCCTCACACTGCTGGTGGGTTCCATTTTGTCATAGGGTGCTGGCAGATTACGGGCCTCCCATTGCTGCTGCCAGGCCCGTAATCTGCCATGGGCCCCCGTACCGACTCCTCATGCTGCTGCCAGGCCCGTAATCTGTCATGGCCCCTGTACCGCCTCCTCATGCTGCTGCCAGGTCCAGAGTGTGTCATGGGTCCATCTGTACGGCCTCCCATTGCTGCTGCCAGGCCCGTAATCTGCCATGGGCCCCCGTACCGACTCCTCTGCTGCTGCCAGGCCCGTAATCTGTCATGGGCCCCTGTACCGCCTCCTCATGCTGCTGCCAGGTCCAGAGTGTGTCATGGGTCCCTGTACGGCCTCCCCATTGCTGCGTGCCAGGCCCGTAATCTGCCATGGGCCCCCGTACCATCATCCTCATGATGCTGCCATCGGCCCGTAATCTGTCATGGGCCCCCTGTACTTTACACGCTCCTCCTCCAGCGTGTCGTCTGATCCGGTGCTGCCAGGTCCAGACTCTGTGTCATGGGTCCCCTGTACTTGCGTATGGCCTCCCATTGCTGGCTGCCTCCACCGCCACACTGTGGCTCCACACTCTGGTTTTGGCCCCGTGACTGCCCAAATGAGTGAAGTGTGCGGTGATTCTAAGATCAACGGCACTCATCTGCATGTCATACTGACTGACAGTATTATTTCTCTTCCCAGCAGACTCCAAGGGCATTTAAATTAAAGGTACAGTGTTCTGCACTAATATAAAGGCTCTCTGAAGCTAGAAACACCCTTTTTATAAGTTAAATTCGCAGCGAATATATTCTCTACTCGAATGGGCAAATTAACTCAGGAGGTAGTGCTACACAGACCTTCTAATGACCTTCAGAAAATGGAAAGACCTTCAGAGTATGCTTATTATCTATCTATATTTATATGGCGTTTTGAAGCCTTTAGCTGCAGGGCTGATAGTGATTATTGAAGGCATGTATTATGCACACCTTGGTCATGCTATAGAACAGTGATGTAGTGCTGGCAGGCACTATTACTGTATGTATACTGTATCTCTTCCATGGAAGGTTATAAATGACAAATGAAAGGTAGCAAACAGATAATATGCTTTTCCTGGTATTGTACAGGCAGTCAATTTCTGTCTTCTCGCATTGTGTGCAGATCCCTTTCATACTTTTGTTTCTGGAAAAGTGATGAAACTCCCTAATTCTGCAGTTCTCCAATATATTTAATGCCATTTATCACACACACACTGTGCAGCTGATATATTCCTTGGCATTTTTTCAATCTACTCCACTAGTTTGTTTTTTTTTTATCTTAGCTAGTCTCTGAAGATACTACTTCAGGAATTCTGTTCCTTTTGTGTGTGTGGTGCAATTGCCCAAGCGCATAAAATGCTTATAAGAAAAAATTTATCTCTTTCAGGTTCGGTAACAAAATCCCTCACCAAACAGAAGGAGTGTCAGTGTTAGACACAATTTATAAAACATCCTTTGACATTTTATGTCTCAAAGCAAATAAGCATCTTGCCATAAATCTGGAAGTAAATGTGATTAAGGGATCACGGTATTTCTATGAGGAACTTAAGGATAAAAGACTGTTCAGATTCAGAGCAGTCACAATGGCTTAAAAATGATCAAAACAGCTGTCAGTAAAATGTACTAGCAGCTTGATTCTCTCTGTAGGTACTGCAATAAAGCTTTAACCCTTTTTTTATCAGGATATTATCATTATACACCTGTCATTGGAGACCTGCATCCATTTGGGTTTAGTTTTTTTTTTTCAGTACCAATGGATCAGCTTCTGATGTAGATAATGATGAAAAGGTAAGTTTTCTATACTGTCAGGATACGTATTGAGTCCCATTTCATTGATGAAACCCTGTGCAGGACATGGCATGTGATCTCGACATTTAAGCAGCATGTAACACTTTCCATAAAGAGGCACCTATGGAGGGGAGTCAGGAGACAAGCTCATGGTCAGGCCTCCTTAGGGATAAAAATAACGCCACCTCTTATCCTAGGTCCCAATGCAAGATCTGAACATTTCCTTCCAGTAAAGAAAATGTTCTGGAAAACTAGCAATCTCTTGTTGGGGACTCCTCTATTTTGTGTCACACAGGGTAACCCAAATAAAAGCTAAAGGTGCAACGCTGCTGAACCACCAGGGGTCCTAAAGTTACATTAAACATCAATAAAGTTGATACTTTTCACAGAAGATTAAAGTGGTTATAAAGCCTGAATGTCTTTTTACCTTCATACATTCTATGTATGAATATAAAAAAAACCTTCAGTATGCAGCTCTCCTCACAGCCCCCCCTAATACCTGAGCCCAATCCTGATCCAATAATGTGCAAGAGAGTGGCTGCTGTCCCCGCTCTCTGCCTCCTCATTGGCTCAGAGACCATGGCTCCAGCTTCTGTGAGTCACAGAAGTGAGGATTGAGTGGGGGCGGAACCAAGCCCCGCTTTGTGTGTCTTATGGACACACAGAGGGGATAATGAGATACATTATTATTAAAAAAAACATATATATATATTTTATCCAAGTTACAAAATCAATTTTGTTAAAACTATACATACGGCTTACAGTGCATGATGTCATACAAGTATAAAGCTGTCACAATAACATGAAATTAATGATGTGTCTCCATTCAGCTGATGTGTTTTAGAGAAGCGTGATTCTTTCTTCACAGGTGTTGAGGATGTCACATCTCTATAATATAATTGAATAAGTATCATATAGCATGTATAAAAATGAAATGATAAAAGTATATAGTCCATAATATATCTTTTATCTTCAATTGAATAGATAGCGGCAGACATAAACATAAAGCCGTAAGCATTAAAAACAAGTGCAAGTGTCCCCACCCAACAGCTATGGAGGGACCAAACCCCTAGAGATTTCCCCCGAGGGGAAGGGGCCGGGCATGTGCTGGCCACTGGGGCCACAGATGCCAGTCCTGAAAATAAATAAATAGAACATAGCTCTTAGATTTGTAAATTTATGGTATACTAAAACAGGTCATACAATACTAGGTCATAATCCTGCCTGTATTGAATAGAAGGCTTGGAAAATGTCTATAGGACTTCAGTATATTCCAAAATATCTCAGAGATATATAATATTGCCTAAAAATGTAAATACCTATTTGTAGTAAAATAGTCTAAATCAGATATATCAAATATCAAAGAAATAATCTTCAAAAAGTGGCCAACTCACTGCCCTTAGAAAGGAGGCAGCCAAGACTTTCATAGAGTATAGAGAAGATGTTTAATATATAGTAGTCTGCAGGGCTTTTTTTTCACAAAAAATAGGTACTTCCCCCCTTTTGAGTCACTTCTTTTCTCTGCCCCCTACCCACTTCTGAGCACCGTTACTTGGTTCCACCCCCTACCCACCTCCCAGTACCTCTCCTTGTAGAGTATACAGAGCCAAGTATCATTTTGTACTAAATAATTTGTATGGAATTTGTTAATGATAACAAGAAAAGAAGAAAAATAGATCCCCCACAGCCAGCAGAAATAGACCCCCCCCAACAATAGATTCTTCCAGCAACAATTGGGCCCCAAAACAAAATAAAAAAAATAGACTCCCAGCAGCTACAATAGATCTACCAGCAGCCAGCATCAAAAGACTCTCCAGCAACCTGCAAAAATAGAAAATAGACCCCTACCACAACAGTAGATCCTTTCCAGCAATAATTGACAACCATCATCAATATATCTATATATTCCCCACCAGCAACAATAGACCTCCCCTGCAATGATAGACCATCGCACAAAAATAGATCCCCTTCAGTGACAATAGATCCCCCAGGAGTCGGCAATAATGGATGCTCCAGCACCCCTTGCCATTACATTCAGTGCTGAAGGTGCCGGAACTACGTTCCCCCGTGTTCCCACTGAAAAAAAGCCCTGGGAGTCTGTTCAAGTTGTTATATCATGCAGAAAAGTCTGTCCTATAAATTCCATACAAACTAGTTCCACATAGACTGCATGAAAGACAGCCTATGTCATTTCAAAGCTCCCCCAAAAAAAGGCAAAGAAAAAGCTCCAACAAAACACAGCCTTCTCTCAGGTCTTACCTGTAGCACAGGGTCACCATGGGGGAAGGTTATGAGCCGTGATCACACACACCATATGCTGAGCAGTGCTGATTAAAAATGTTTAGACCCACCCAGACTAAAAAAGCCTGGGGCAATGGGTGGACCAGGAGGAATATTAGCATCTCAAGTTGGGCCCCCTGAGTCTGGGTGCACTGTGACGGACTTTAGGACGTCCGCATTGCAGACTGATGTCATGTGTCTGACAACCCACCGACATGCACCGATATCCACCCATCCATGAGGAGAGAGCGGATTGGTGGGGGAGGGAGATGGACAGTGCAGAGAGAATCCCTGCCCCCTCCACCAGAGCGTCGACAGGGGTCCCAAGAAGAGGAGAATTGGGGTAATCTGTGCAAAACCATTGCTGATAAGTATAACATGTTTATTTAAAAAAAAAATACTATTACTTTAAGGTGTGCTGGCAACATATATGTTATTTGATTTCTGTGGCGCCATCCACCAGTTTCTCAAGTACCTTGCAATTGGGTGTATATCTGTGTGGTGTGAGAAAGAGCTATGTTTATGGCACAGGGTAATCTCATAGACCCGAGTTTAATTTGGGGCAAAGATCTGCAATTACAGATTTATTGTAAGGGCTAAGTTCACCTTTTAAAAAAATAATAAATGCACATTTTTTGCATGTAAAAAAATGTGCAGTATTATATTTCTCTCTAAGGAGCCTGCAGATCATTGCACGCATGATCAGCA